CCCCAAAACCCCAAAACCCCAAAACCCCATTATGATAATTATGCTTAATTTTGCGAGTTATGAAATTAACACTGAAACCTATATATTATATCTCTCAAAAGGTGTAGTAATTGATTGATATAGAGTAATAGATATTATTAATAGCTATTCTCAGATATTTGTAAATAATTGAATGTAATTATCAAAGAAGCTAAAACAAATATAAATCTTAGCTTGGCCTAGATTCAATCTAAAGCATATTACCATTCCACCTACAAAATTCAAAGAAACCAGCAATATCGAATAGAATCATAAACTAACAATGAGCCAAATGGAAAGTTTACCTCATGCAGATTACGACTTGCTTGCTAAATGTCCTTTCACTGGCAGTCGCTGGGAGGCAAACAATAGTTCAAACAAATTAAATGAGCTATCTATAAAAGTTGCCGCCAATCGTTCCCATCATAGATGGCACAGATTTCCTTTTCGCTTCTTTTTCTAGGATATGCAAACTGTATTTGATAACTTCTCAGACGAGATGCCATTAGAAAAGTTTGGTAATAGACGCCCAAAGGTCACACATTGTGTTGGTGCTTGCTCAAAAGGGAGGTGGGTTAGTTATGATAATCACAATTACACAGGCATTTTCTAAGGAAGTGAGGAGGGCTTGTTTCGTTTCAGTCTTGCAAAGCAAATAAACCTGTGGGCTTACAAGGATGAGTCTCCTTTTGGCCCGGGTTTAGCAATCAAATTTCCTCGCAGCAATATTCCCAGCGCAAATATGGTATTTATGGGGACCTCAGTCGGCAGACCAAGTAGCAACTTCTTCGAATATGATCTTTCGACTCACTTACCTGCAATAAACGAAAATGACAAAAGTTTGAATCCTGTGAAGCGTGCAATCCCTAAAGCATTTCGTAAGGCATCATCTTGGCCAAATATGTTGGGATCCAGCGACTTTGCAAGCTTTGACAAGGATGGCATTGAAGCAAAGCCCCCCATGTTTCCTTATAGAATACATCTACAACCTAATCATGACCTTCTGCCTCTATTTGCTCGAAGGAAAGAAGAAGTGAGCCTTGAGGATAACTATTATTTAAAGCAGTTTGCTTCATTGTAGAAAAATACTATTGTGTATTACATACTAGCTTAACCTACTCCTTTCTCAGAGTCGCTAATAGGTCCCATAGGACATCTTGAAATAACAGAAATACCAGTGACATCGCTTTATGGAGATACAAAACTTTTCTTCCGACACACACGCATGGAAGATGACTTTGCTCTACATCCAGAATGGAAGCTGGCTGCAAGCGAGATTTAACAGTATCAAGCCAGCTTAAGTTTTCCTTATCACTATCCAAACATATCTTCCCTGCCACTATAGCTACCAAATCACAAGGAAAAAATGAATGATCTGGATCATTAGATTTCTGCCCAGTTTGAATGGCTTCCTAAATAGCATCCATTATTGAAGCAGCCCAGCAATGTGCCCCCAACTCTCAATGAGATACCACCTATAGAAATAACTCTTGAAACAGAGCATCGTAAAGCTTCCATTACAAAAGTAGCAAACTATGTAAAAAAACAAGTATGGAAAAACAATAAAATGCTGCCTTTTCAATTAAGCAAGGATCCATTTTATCCCTGGCTTTTTGCTATTCGAGGCATGTAGGTGCCTTCAGTAGTTGGGGAATGGAGAACTGATAAATCTTTTGCAATGTAGAGGTTGTCAGGATTAAATCCAGGATTTATACGCAAAGTGCACGAATTACCACCAAGGATTGCTGCCCTTCTTCCAAGTGATGTCAGCATTGACTCTGTGTACGTCTGTGACTATGAGATACTCTAACATTGCAAATCACCTCCAGAGAGATTTCTGTAAGCGCCAATAGGGTACTTTTATCTAGACCTAACTAGTGTCCTATAACCATTGGCAATACAACTAGATAGAATATCAGAGTCTCCACATATTTTTACACCTCATGATCCGCCAGGAATATGGTTGTGTGCAAAAATTCATTTTCAAACTGCAGATGCCTGTTTTCACGTTTTTTGTTCACACTACGCTGAAACTCATGCAATTATGGAGGCAGTTTATGTTTCAATGAGACGCAATCTCAGCACTCAGCACCCACTTTTAAACCTTTTGAAACCACATTTCTGGTATACTATACACATCGGTGACAATTCACGCAGGAAACTACTTGGTGAGGAAGGAATCCTTCCAAAGTTTATGGCTCCAGGATTCTTAGGCCAGAATACTCTACTTGAAGCTTGCCTAGAGCGTTGGTCTTTTAAAAACCTAGACTTCCCTAGTGTATTGGCCGATAGAGGAATCTCCAATATTCCAGATTATTACTGGTGTGACGATAGCATGGAGTTATGGAATATTATCGGTCGATTCATTAACTCAATCATTAGTCTCATATACTAATCAGATAGTGAAGTAGCAATGGACATAGAATTAGCAGCCTGGATGAATGAGATAACCAAGATGATAGGAAAAGGCTTCAGAGACATCAAGGGGCTTAATTCAAATGGAACTTTGTAGACAAGGGAGGATCTTGCTTTTTTCTTGCATTAAATAATCTTTAACGTCACTGTCACACACTCTTCTGCGAATAGTGCTTTGTATGACTAAAATGGCTTAGAAATTATATTCCGAATATGCAACTTTTAAATTGGACCCTCGGCGCATGTTAGCCTAGGACGATATTTCAGAGAAAGAAATTGCAGCTGCCTTACCAGCAACTAGTTATGAGGGTTTGATGCAAATTGCTATTGTAAGTAGCCTCTCAATACCAACCTAACGCCCTATTGGCAAATATGAAGCTGATTTTCTCTTTGGAATTTAAGGCAGTCATAAAGAAATTATAAAGTTTCGTTAGGATCTTCGTGAACTCTCACAACGTATCAAGGTCCGCAATAAGCACCTTAATTTGATGGGGAAACCTTCATACAGTTACCTTGATCCTGATAGAATTTCTCAGAGTATTGAACTTTGAGATATATTTGATTACAAAGAAGTGAAATTTGAATTGATTATTGTGATTTTTGAGTTGATTATTATGATTAACTTTCGATGATAAAAATTTATTTTTAATTTTTCCTTAATTTTTATGATAATTAGTCAAGGGGTTTTGGGGTTTTGGGG